GGCTTCACAACTTGGGAGCTCGTTCGCGGAAGCAACGTCGTTCGCAACCTGCATTTCGTGGCTCCTCTCTCTGCTGCGCTTGCCAACGGCGACGACACGCTGAGCATCACGGCAGACTGCTACTCCACGGCGGGCACTGACGCTGCCATAACAGCAGCCCTGCTGGCCTACTACACCTCGGCGCAGGTAGACGCGCTGTTGGGAGACTACCGCACAGGGGCAGCGCAGGACGCGGAGACGACCAGCGCCATCACAGCCGCGCTGCTGGCCTACTACACCTCGGCGCAAGTGGACGCGCTGTTGGGAGACTACCGCACGGCAAGCGCGCAGGACACGCAGACGCAGGCCGCCATCGCGGGCGCGCTGCTGGCCTACCGGACGGGCCCGGACCAGGACGTGTTCACCACCAACCAAATCACCTCGGCGCTGGTGGCGTACCGCTCAGCCGCAGACCAGGACACGGCGACGGCCTCGAGCATCGCCGCCGCCCTGCTCAGCTACTACACCATCGCACAAGTAGACGGCCTCCTCGCCGGCAAGCTCGGAGTCACGGAGGCGGCCTCGGCGCTGCAGATAGCAGTGCGCTTTCCGGACGACGGCGGGGCCGACGAGGTGGTGGCCGCCATAGGAGAGCAGATCCTGGGCCCCACGGACGTCTCGCTGTCAAACTGGACGGTTCGCCCCAGCAGCGGCTGCAGCGTGGTCTGGCCACGCACACCGCGGGCGCAGTGAGCGTGGACGGCTACACCCTGACCCTGGCGGCGAACCCGTGGAACATCGTGCGCACCTACAACTTGACCCCGGGCCGAGAGCTCCTCTTCGCCTGCCGCTACCGGCTCGGCACGGCCTCCAACTTCGTGGTGTACATGTCCGAGGCAGACAACGTCTACGACCCATTGTACGGCAGCTTCGTGGGCGACCAGGGTGCCTGGAGCACTGCCAAGATGTACTTCACAGTGCCTCCGAACGGGGTGGCGAAGCTGCACTTCGGGGCGCACTTCCAGGCGCCGGGCCTGCCCAACCAGACGGCTGGAACGGTGGACGTCTACGGCCTCCAGATCCTGGACGCAACCCTGGAGACCGGCAACGCGGTGGAGGAGGAGGACACGGCGGCCTCGGCGCTGCTGCTGAAGCACGAGTTCCTCGACGGAGGGGCCGACGACGTCACGCTGGCCACCCTGGGCGAGGTGCTGCTGGAGCCCACGCTCACCACGCTAGGCAACTTCCTGGTGCGCTCCAACAGCCAGAGCTCCGTGGCCTCCGCCAGCTTCACGGTGGGAGGCTTCCAGCTGGAGGGCTACGCCATGACCCTGAGCGCCTTCGCCTGGAACATCGTGCGCACCTACACGCTGACGCCGGGGAGACGCTACTCTTATGACCCTCGGAAACAGGCAAACTCTGAAAAACTGCAAAAAGATAAAAAAACAAAAAAAACAAAAAAAAAACAAACCAAAAAAACAAAAAAAACAAAAAAAACAACAAAAAAACAGCTCACAGAACGCGCCCACTCAGGCCCACCGCCCATGACATGCCAAACACACGCAAAAGCCGGGAAAAAACCAAACAAACACACACACACACACACACACCAAAAAAAAGCAAGCCAAAAAACAAAAAGAAAAACAAAAAAAACAAAAAAACAGCTCACAGAACGCGCCCGCTCAGGCCCACCGCCCATGACATGCCAAACACACGCAAAAGCCTGGAAAAAAACCAAACAAACACACACACACACACACACACACACACACCAAGCAAAGGGACAGAACTATGCAACCAGCACATGCCAACAACAACAGGAAGCCAACAGTGAAACACCGACAAAACACCACTCACACACAACATCAACATCTCCGGAAATGCGCACACACACACATCAAATTTGACCCCATTCTGAGTGCCATGCTGAGTCCTGAATCGCTGATAATCACTGTCAGGTTGTACGACAAAGCGGCAAGCTACTAAGCTGGTTTTCATCCTGCCGCTACCCAGCAGTCGGGCCAGTGGTGGCCGGTTTGTGCTCAATTGCCGTGGGCCGTGATGGCCAAAGTAGAGCGAAGGCATTGCCGATTCTTGTTGCTACACACTAGGTGGTACGTGGTCTGGAAACCGTGTCACAGGGGAATAAATGAATGAGTGAACCAACTTTGCGTAACAGCTGCCAAGAAGTTGTTGTGGAACGATCGAAATAAGCAGCGTTGCCTGCTCCACATCATGCCGTGCTCAAAAAAACCACAGCAATTGCACTGTACAGTGTACACAGGAATCACGGTTCCTTGGCTTTGTCCTCAAGGAGCGCCCTAGCTTTGCTGAGCACTTGGGGAAGCAACTGCTGTTCAGGGATTTTCCCATTGGAAATGTCAACAAACTCTTTGCGGATCACCCTTTTAATGGCATCCTTGGTCTTCAGAAACTTAGTGGCCAACACGCAGCTTTCTGTTTTGAAGACCCGTAGCTGCAACAGCAACATCTCGCACTGCTTGGAAAGGTCGGCCATCTCATCCTCATCTGGCCCCACCACGCCACGAGAAACCATCTGGAACTCCTTCATCGAGGCAGACGCCTGTCGTGCGAGTCACGGGGTAATCGTCGGGTAATCGGGCAACAGTCTACGAGTCTACCAGTCTACCAGGCGCCCCGTCAAGGGTGAGTGTTGTGTTGGAAGTTTGCCGTCCCAAATGCAATGACAGTGACAGTAACCAGAATAACAAGGGCAGTCCTCCGGAAACAAAAAACCCTTGGGATCTTGGAAGTTGAAGTTGGCCATGCCCCTACCCCTGTCATTAGAAGTCTCCCGTGTCCATGTCAAGAGTCGAGATGAGTCATGTCTCCAGTCCATGTCCAATCCTTGGAAGTCTGCCATGCTGCTTGGCACACCTCCTAACCTAATGAACCTACTAAATAAAGTGTCGAAACAAACCCTGCAAAGTCTGCCGTGTCGAGCCCTGTCCCTACATCAACCGTCAACCCCTTCGAAGGAAAAGCAAACGGTGTCAAGTTTCAAGTCCGGGGTCCACAAATTCGAGACAACCAGAGGGCTCCGAATCACTCGGAACCAGATGCCCATGATTAGCTAACGCGCCTTCTCAACTTGCTGGATGATCTTCATGATGGTTGGCCCGGAGATGTCATCTTTCAGGATGCTGCCCTGGGCGACTTTCTCGACTTCAGCAAGGGTGGCTGTTGGGCTGATGGACTTTTTCCAGGACTGCGCAGGGCAATGCAGCTGTTTGCAAACCTCACCTGCAGTCTCATCCAAAGCCACAAACTCCTCCTTGAGCAAAGAGACCTTTTTCAGGTAAGCCTCGCTGATGGCCACGGGAAGGCAATCAAAATGCCGGCCAAAGCTTGGGAAGCTGGCATCGTCAAGGTCCTCAGCCCAAGCCTCAACTTGGGGGAGCGATCCGGCATCGTCGGTCTTCGTCTGCAGTTTGGTCAAAGGGCCGCGAGCTGCAAAGATCTGTTTGAGGATGGAGTCCCCCTTGTCCTTGTCCAACCGGTCTTTGGTCGTCTTGCCAAACGAAAGGAATCTGGCCTCTGCAGCCTTCACTGCCAGCCCTTGCTTGAGCAAATCGAGTTCAGCCTGCAGCTTTGCTGCAGCTACCTCTGAGGCAAAAGCAGCAGTGACCAGAGCCCGGATTGTGGTGAGCTGCGCATCTGGGATCCCGCCGGCCTCTCCCGCATCCACCTGCCAGCCAAACGTCCGGGCAAAGTGAGTGACTAACAGAGTCAAGGAATAACCCAACAGTGACCAACAGACTAACAGTGACTAACACGTTCAGAGCTCAAAACTAGCTGGCTAGCTAAAACAAAAGTCCAAACGGCCACCCAGCAGGTTTTACGCAACACTTCCTAGAAAGGTTCGTGACTGACTAAGCGGCTAAGTCGGCTAAATCCCAAGGCTGAACTTGAAAAATGGACCGGCCTGGCTGTCGAGAACCTGGAATGCCACGCAGCAAAGCTGCTGCAATTTCTCGATGAGCTGCTTTGAGTAGAGCTGGCCCTCGGTCTCATGCAGCAAGACACTAAGCTGCGAGTGGTTGTCAAACTGCTGGAGGTCAAGGTTTGACTGCGCAAAGTCCTCAAGCCTACTCAGGGAAAGGTCGGAAGCAATGGACTCCTTGAATGACTCAAACTCGCGCTGGAAGTCAGCCATGCCCTCCTCAGCCAGGAAGTAGGAAATGCCTCGAGTGAGAAGATCTACGTCCTCGGGTTTCAAGGAGACTGCTGGCTTGGACATCATCTGCTTGGCCACCAACTTCACCCGGTTTGACAGCAACTTTTCGAGGGATCGAGTGGCACCCTGACGGAGAGAGGCCTTGTAGTTGTTGAGCTGTGCGAGTGCTTGCCGGAGGGCTTCGTCAACTTCGCACGGCTCTGAACTGTTCTCCAACTGCTCCTGCAAAAAGTGGACCTCTGGCGCCAGCTGCTTGGTCTTGGCAGCTGTCTTGAGCGTCTCGTCCACCAGGACCTGCCATTGCTCGACGCTCTGCACACTCATCGCAAGGGTGGACTCAAGCATGTCCTGTCCCTCGTAGCCGGTAATGTGAAAGACATCCTCGATAGATGAACCACAGTGGCCAGCAACTGGGACAAGCAAGGAAACAATGCACCCGCTTGCCCGCTTGACCCGCAGCGCGGCCTCCTTCAAATGGGGGCTCGGGTACTCGATGGAGTCGGCACCATCTTCCATGAAGGCCTTTAGCAGCCCTTCGCACAACTCCTGCAGCGCTGGGTTTTTCTTGGGACACTGCACCATCTGGAAGAAAGCATCGTTGCCAAGGGCGCCGCTGATGGACGTGGCAAACGCCTGCGCCAGGAGTGTGACCGCACTATAATTTTGGGAAACACAGATGACATCTGAATGTAGCTTCGCAACATCATTCTGCTAAATTTACACCAGCTGCTAGCTACCAAACCCTCCCCCTGCATCACTTGGTGGATTGATGGCCAAACATGTTCAATCAGCTAAGTAGTCAAGATTCAACAAAGTGGCCCGCCTCCCACCCTTTCTCCTTGGACTCCCCGACGTTGGGCTCTGAGTCCTCAAGAGCCATGCCCGTGAAGGTGTCAGACAAGGCTGCAGCCAGCGCCACAAAGGAAGGCTCCAAGACATCAAATGACATGGACTCCTGATCATCAATTTGGAGGAAGGCTCGCCAAAAGCACAGCTTGTCGACCACGTCTGCAATCGTTGTCTTGGCTGACAGACTGGGCGCCTCTACCAGCTCCTGGGTCTTGTCCGAGATGGAACGCAGGGCTGCCTGGAGCTGCAACGGCACGGGAAGGTCATGCTTGCCACGCTGCATCCGCTTGAGATTGAGCTGGAGGTCCCTCTTGGGCAAGCGTAAAATGCCGGGACTGCACAAAGCTGCGGCCTGCTCACAGTCCTCAATGCGGTGTTGAAGGATGATACCTTCTTTCTGGTCCTTGATGCTGGCAGCCAAGTCTTTTGCCTCACAGGTGGAAGCCAAACCAAAAACAAAATCACCTACCCGAAATCAACACTTTCTGCGAAGGATGCTAGTCGAGTCACAGTCAGTCACCAGTCATGTCTGTCGAGTCTAGTCTGGTCAGATTACTCACTCGAGTCTGAGTTCATAGCAAAAACAAACACAAAGAAAGGTCTCTCGCACGCAATTCAAGGAACGCCCGGCCTTAGCAATCGACCGTCCGAGTTTCTCCCCCAGGAGAATCCGCCCCACATTCATTTGGGAAAGGCACGCCGGAATGGCGCGCGGGAACCCTTTGCAGACCTTGGCAACCTTAGCCATGTCGGGGTCTAGCGACTGCATGACGGTATCCAGGTCCTCGGTGCTCGCCAAGTAGACGTCATCTGCACCTGCAGCTTTCTTTGTGGAACGCTTTGATGTGGTAGAAGGCGCGGCAGTGGATGCGGCACTGGTAGGGAGTGAGAGCCGGGAAAACTTCGAGACTGCAATCGAAGGCGCCACTCTCTTGGCCAGGGGGCTGTCCTCACCTGCACTCGCGTCGCCATCCTCGAGCGGATCCGCGACTTCCTTGGACTGGCGTGCCGCTTGCAAAGACGCGTGCTTCTCCCGCAAAGCAGCAACTGTGTTCAACTTGAGCCTCCCTGTTGCCCTGAGCCCGTCCGGCAAGGTCTCCAGCATAGTCTTCTGGTTGTACTGGTAGACGCGGTGAGGGTGAAGATCTGAAAGCTGGCCGGCCTGCTCAAGGAGGGCCTCTGTCATCTGCAAGTTGACCTGCCAGTAGAGCTTTACCTTCCTGATGCTGTGGATCTCGCAGCAGGAAAGCCCCTCCAAACTGAGCAAGTGCAGCGACTTCTGCTCTTGCCCCTCCTCGTTGGTTGGAGTGAACCGTCTTGGGTTATTGGATTTTTCTTGGCCAAGCGCCTTTACGCCAAGGCTTGAAGGCAGGCAGCCGACCAGCCGCTGAAACTCACTTTCGCTGACGAGGCCCACCTCCGAATACACTTCGAGGCCTCGTCGCTCGGAGCTCTGCACGTCAGCGGGAGTAACGAAGTCACGGTCGTCCTCACCAACGTGGATGTTTCTCGCCTTCTTGAACTCGGACGCGTGCTCCCGGCTATCGCCGAGCCTAGGTTTCGTGAGAAGAGCGCAAGTTTCAAAGAGAACCAAGTAGTTCAGTAGTGAGTGAGAGGCTTCGAAAAGGACTTCCCTAAGGCCGTAAGGTCCCAACAAAACCTTTCTGCAAAAGTCTGCTCGTGAAGTTGAACTGCTTGCTACAGTGGTCAGCCCAACTCATTCCCGGCCAAACCCTGGCAACAACCTCCACGCAGTTGAGACAGCCATCGTCGATCTGGTTTCCAAGAGCATCGTCATCTGCAAACATAGCGGGCCAAAATCTGCAAAGGAAGCTAGCTGCTTAAACTGTCCTGCTCCGGTCCTCCTACTCCCCCAGTCAGTCTAAACTAAACCCTCGCTGCCAACGAGATGGTCCAGGACAAAAGCAACGCAACGAGAGCAAGGATTTTGTCAATAGTTGGTCGGTCAGTCCTTTTCAATTGCCTCGCACGCAAAGCAGGTGCGGTCGGAAGTCTTGCCTCGCCTCCTCTTGTGACTGGGCGGGCCTGTGTAGGGCACAATCTCGCTGCCAGCATGCTGGCGCTCGTCAACGTTGTCCTGCCTGCGCTTCCCTCTGCCCGCCTGACAGGCAGAGAAAACAGGAGTGCGAAATCTTTGCTATCAGGCAGGCCCAACAGCCATCCCTGCTACTGCTAAGCCCAGAAGAAAAAAACGACTGAAACGATTGATGACTAATGACTAATGATGACTAATGAATGGTCCCCAACAAGCCCATCAACCAAACATAACCATTCGTTATGAAGAAATCCCACAGTATTGGAAAATAGCTTAAAGCGTTTGAAGACCCAGCCTTCTTTGGCGCCATGCCAGCTGTCAAAGTCAGACAAACGCGAACCCGTAACCGGAATCTGTCAAGCTTGCTGTGGTCAATGTGCTGCATCATGCTTGACAGCTACTAGTTACTAGCCGGCCACAAAACCTTGGCAAGGCAAATGGAGCACGTGCGTCAAACAAGCTATATTTGGCTCTGTGTCAAAGCGCGCTTGGCAAACGTGTGTTTGTTTCATCCGCCTCGGCTCTATTGAGATCTGTTGAATGCAAAAAACATTCGCAGAGCTGGCAACTCGCAACACAACCCCTTAGGTGTCGGCGCACGCTTTGCGTGCCACTGAACGAAAAAAACAGCACCGGTTTGTTAGGGCTCCCAAAGCGATGAATAATTATTGAATAATTATTGAATATTGAAACACAACGAAGAGGCGTAAATTCAAATTGCGAAACGGGGCCTTGTGGGGGAAAAAACAGTATCAGTTATCAGTATCAAGGGTTGCCAACGAGCTGCCAGCCAATTAGCAGCATTGCTCATGGCTCATCCGTACATACCTTTGCACTGTGCTGGGATGGATCTTTTGATGGGCAAAGCATGTTGCACGCTCTTGCGCCATCATAGCAAGTCATGGAAACTGCTTGAGAACGAACAGTGCCCAAATGACACTGGTTATGCAGGGCACTGCCATGCCTTCCCCCGCCAAATGCTTCAACTGTGAGAATGTCATCTCACGAGGGACCCGTGTTGAATCTGGATGGCCATGAAGCAGTAAGCGTTCATATGGCACTATGATGCTATCCCGGGTGTAGCTATACAAATCGGTCGATGTCGTAAGCGTGGGCGTCACGCTTGAGGAGGAAGATGTAAAGACCTTCCGTGAGTGACTTTGGGACACATCGGCGTAAATGCCCCTCATGGAGCTGGCAATGTTGCTGGCCGTCTTGGGGTGCACATTCTTGGTAATTTGGGCTGCGATGCAATCCAGCAAGTCAAGCACCCGCTCCGTTTTGGACAAGCCCTGACCCTTGAAGCCAGCCTGCCCAGTCCACGGCTTGTAACTGCTGGAAACTTTCAACGCTTCCCGCCAGCGATTGCTTTGCAACGTCCATTCAGGCACTTTTGAGCGCCGAGGATCACTTGCGCGATTCACATTCTCCTCCGTAGCCAAAGTGAGGGGCGAGGCTAAACAACTAAGTCAAGTACAAACAAAGGAGGAGTTTCAATTGACTTCCGCTGTTAACCTCAGAACTATAGAAAACTGGAAATCAAACGAGCAGGGGAAAGGAAACAAGGGTCCAAAGGGCTTACAGGCGCTAAACCCTATGTCATATGTTTAGACTATCTTGTGTATGTATGTAGGTTTGTACAACCCAGCGCTACCATTATCATATCGTATATGCATATACAGGTATTGCTGCATGGTTCTGTGATATTGTATATAGCACAAAACTTATCGCACATGGTATACGGTATGTGCATATGGATGTACGATATATACAGATATCATGTCCCGTGCGTATGTCCCTAGTGTATAGAATCGTATAGAATCTACATTCATCTAGTCTAGTTTCAGCGTCATCATCATTATCATCATCATCAGCATCATCATCATCACCATCATCA